TTTTTTTTTTTTTTTTTTCTCAAAATGTACTAAAATGATTAAAACTTTAAAAATAAAATGATTAAATATATAAAACTCAAAACTAAATTCCAACTAAAGAATTTAGTGGCTCAGTGGTAGAGCATTGTGTTAGCAGCGCCAAAAGGTTGTGGGTTTGATTCCCAGGGAACACACATACTGGTAAAAAATGTATAGCCTGAATGCACTGTAAGTCGCTTTGGATAAAAGCATCTGCTAAATGCATAAATAATTATTAAATTATAATAAATACTAAGTATAGTAATGATACTAAAACAACACTGCTTCATATCACAAAACCTTACATAAATGTCAAACGACAGAGGAGACGTAATGGTAAATATTTATTTGTTTTTACGAAAAGCTGTACGGAACATCTAGTCCATATATTTCAGGGATAGTTAAACATGAAAAAATAAAACGCTACTTGATTGTCACACTTTCAACCTTGTGGATTCTTCTCAGTACTGATGACACGATACAAAGTACAGGTACGTGTGTTCAATAAGGTAGTCTCACGTCAGTATGATGGAAGAAATATTTCATGTTTTATATTTGGATCACATATAGAATGATAAAATAACACAAGAGCAGCGTTAACACCGCTTGATCTCACTTTGGTTGATCCACTGACAGTTGGTTTGCTTTTCCAACCTTTAAAAAAAGCCATAAAAACGGCATTGAATCGGAAAGCGTTCTGGCCGTAAGTGCCAAATCTGGTCGATTAAAAAGTGCATCAAGCTGCTGGAGAAATGATGGCAGATACTGCCAAAACCACACGCTTAAAACATTCAGAACTGGAGCAAGACGCTTCTTCAAGACAGAGTTTGAAACATGGTGGCTTATGCTAGATTGTTTCCGCGCATGGGATAAAAACATAAAAGATGTAACTGCGACTTTTTATCTCACTATTTGGACTTTGTTCCTGGCAATTATGAGTTTATATCTCACAATTATGAAACTAAAGAATTGCGAGATATAAAGTCGCAGTTCTGAGAAGACACGTCTGAATTGACATAAATTCGCAATTGCGAGAAAAAAATTGAGTTACGAGATAGAAAGTCACAATTACATTTTTTAATTCCACGGAAGAAGCAAAAAAACACAATTGTGAGATAAAAACCAAAGATAGGTATTCTAAAGAAACAAAATTGATCTCACAATTATTATTTTGTGCCACAGAATAAAAAAAGGTAATTGTGACATTTTATCTCACAATTCGGATTTTGTTTCTTGCAATTATGAGTTTCTATCTCACAATTCTGAGAAAAAAGTAGAATTGTGAGATAGAAACTAAAGAATTGCGAGAAAAGTCTAAACTGACATATAAACTTGCAATTGCAAGAAAAAAAATCTAAATTGTGAGATATAACCTCAGAATTATGAGATAAAAAGTCACAATTACATTTTAAATATTTTTTATTCCACAGCAGAAGCAAAAAACACACACACACACACAATTGCGAGATATAAACTAAAGAAATATAAACTATTTTTTTGTGCCACGGAATTAAACTTGCAATTGCGAGAAAAACGTCAGAATTCCAAGATACAAATTAAAGCATATAAACTTGCAATTGCAAAAGAGTCAGAATTGTGAGATATAAACTCAGAATTATGATAAAAAGTCGCAAAAGTCTTTTTTTTTTTACTTTTTATTACATAGCAGAAACAGAAAACACTATAACTAAATATTAACCCAGAATTGCTTTTTTGGTTTCTGCCACAGAATAAAAAGTAATTGTGGCTTTTTATAAACTAAATATATAATCTAAGATACAAACTAAAGAATTGCGAGATATAATACTCGCAACTGCGACAAAAAGTCAGAATTGCGAAATATAAACTCAAAGCATAAAAAGTCGCAATTACCCTTTTTATTTTTTATTCCCTGGTGGAAACAAAAACACAATTGCAAGATATAAACTAAAGAATTGAGAAATGTAAACTCGCAGTTGTGAGAAAAAACTTTATATCTTTATATATTTTATATCTCGCAATTCAGACTTCGTTTTTCGCCATAATGAGAAAAAAAGGCAGAATTGCGACATGACTTCTTGACTCGATTCAAGTTTATTGCCACATCAGCTTCAGAATTGTGACATTTTGAGAATGGCGAGAAACAAATCTGAATTGTTAAATAACTTCTTTAATTTTTAATTCTGATGTGGAAACAAGCTTCCACAGTAGTTAGTCGCTTTAAAGGAACACTCCACTATTTTTGAAAATAGGCTCATTTTCCAACTCCCCTAGAGTTAAACAGTTGAGTTTTACAGTTTTCAAATCCATTCAGCCGATCTCCGGGTCTGGCGGTAGCACTTTTAGCTTAGCTTAGCATAGATCACTGAATCTGATTAGACCGTTAGCATCTCGCTCAAAAATGACCAAAGAGTTTCGATATTTTTCCTATTTAAATGATATTACACAGCGCCTGAAAATAGTCCCCAGCTAGGTAACTTCCAATAAGCCTATTTGCAGGCGCTGCGTAATATCATTGCGCCTGCTGCACCCATGGTACGGCAGCAAAGTTCCTTGATTATTACGCCGGAATGAGAGTATAGTTCCTAGCCATATCGGCCTAGAAAATCACAACTTTTCATTTTCCGTCGGTCTTAGTACACGATGTAACTACAGAAGAGTCAAGTTTTAAATAGGAAAAATATAGAAACTCTTTGGTAATTTTTGAGCGAGATGCTAACGGTCTAATCAGATTCAGTGATCTATGCTAAGCTACAGCTAAAAGTGCTACCACCAGACCCGGAGATCGGCTGAATGGATTCGAAAACGGTAAAACTCAATTGTTTAACTAGGGGAGTTGGAAAATTAGCCTATTTTCAAAAATAGTGGAGTGCTCCTTTAAGTTCTGCGAAATATTCTTGCTAACAGCGAAGGATAAAGCAAAATCTGAATGGGAAAAAAAGAAACTTAAACAATGGCACTTATGCTGTGTGAGATTTTGGATTATCGTCTGTAATTACATAATTATAACAATAAAACGTATCACTTGCACTTCGAAGTTTCACTCTGCTCGAACAACAAGTTGAATTTCAAAGCAAATCGATAGTTGCAGAAAAAAAGTAGTCGCGTTATACTTTAAGTGCAAGAACGGCAAATACAAATCATATGTTTGCTGCCGAATTCAGCGTTTTAAAAGTTCGCTAGATTCTTTCGAACGATTTGTGCCACGCTAAAAACATTTCACGAGCAAAGCACAATGACATGGTATTTGCTTGAAGCTTCATAAAAATTTAAATACATACTAATCAGTAAGTAAAAAGAAAAAATATATATATATATCATATATAACATATCCTAGATTGTCTGAAAATGACAATTTGACACCACAGAATGAAACTTAAACATATGGAAACATTTCAAGTACTTTGAAAAATAAAAACTTTGTTTCCTCGCGACCCTCGAATATTTCATCATGGCCATATAAAGGAGTATATATTATCCTATTTTACCACTATATATATATATATGCATACGTATATATTCATATAGAAATGTAATCTCTCAACGATACAAATGTGCATCTCATTTTTTCTTTCGATCCTGGGTGCATCGTGGACAGAACCTGGAAGACAGAAAAGAGACTTTGTTTTCTGATGTTGGAAACAGAGATATTGCCGGGTTCTCGTGAACAGACCGACGTACCATTTCCCTTTGGGTTTGGTTGTCAGATCAACGCAAGCGAAGTGAAACCACTCAATGGGACACTGTTAACAAAGGCATTTTGGTTAAATAAATACTATGAGGAAATGCTAGTAAACCGTTTAAAGCGTCACGTCGTACGTCTGGGTTGTCGCATCCGATCATTTCTCCATATGACACTTGGTGGCACAGGCAGTATGTGGGCTCATTGGGGTCAACGGGCATGTCTAAGACGTCTGACGGGTGAACTGGAAGGATGGATTCAGAGAACTCAGGGCTGCGGAGATGAGAAAACAACGTAAATGTTACTTCAAACCTGTATTTTTGAGTAAACATCCAAGATGTAGATGAGTCTGTTTCTTCATCGGATTTGGAGAAATGTAGCATTGCATCACTTGCTCAGCAATGGATGTGAATGGGTGCCGTCAGAATGAGAGTCCAAATAGCTGATAAAAACATCACAATAATC